CAGGGGGTTGGACTAGATGACCCTGGAGGTCCCTTCCAACTCTATGATTCTGTGATTCTGTGATTCAATCCTTGGCATCTCCAGTTAAAGAGACCCGAGAGCAGGTGATGTGAAAGGCCTCTGCCTGAGACGACCCGGGAGAGCCACTGCCGGTCTCAGTAGACAAGACTGGACTTGATGCGACCGATGGTCTGATTCAGTATCAGGCAGCTTCATGTGCATATTCTTAGCATAGTGCCGCCCATGCCTGCTTCTCTGCGGTGTGCAGGTTTGGCTCCTCATTCCTGTCTAGTTTGTGTATTGTGATTCTCCCAGGTCCTCCAGCTGCCTTGAATGGCTTCCATGCCCTATTAAAACACCACACAAATGGCTAAACAGCGAGGAGCCCTGAGGACTAACTTGTGTGACTCTTTCGGAGCAGGTTTTATTTATGTATTTGCATCCTTCCCTTCTTTCAAGAAGTCCGGAGCAGTGTTCCCAGCCTTCTCAGAATGGTGACCCGCGAGCAATGCTCCCTCTAAGCTGTGGAGTCTTGTGAGCAAAAATTCTACTTTGTGAGCTACTGGCATGAAACTTGTGAGCGAGCGGTTTGGCTACTGCATAAATTAGTTTGCTCTGGAGCCCCATCCTTCCTGAGCTAAGACAGAAATGTGTGAGCCGGAGGCTAAAAAACTGTGAGCTAGCTCACACTCACTCAGCTTAGAGGGAACACTGCTCACGAGTCCAAATTTTCTCGGTATGGTGACCCATCCACGGTTGGCCCTAGGTATTTTTGCTCCCTAGCCACTTTGAGACTCCTTTGGGTAGAGACAAGCAGGGTATTCTGCTACTAGGGTCTGATAGCATCCTTAACTGGCTCTTTCAGAATCTTTGGTCCTGCAGACTTGAAATTGCCTGGATACGCTGCATCCTTCTTGCCTTTAGCGTCTCCTCAGTGAGGTGGCCTATGCCTGCCTTTGCAGTCTCCTAATTCCATTATTCACAAGATCCTGCTTGTGTTTTAAGTTGATTGGGGTGCTACTGGGTTTGCCGTTTTTCTCCTTTTTTATCTGTCGGGCTGCTGACCTCTGCTTTGGTCTCTGCCCTCCTTTGTTCAGTAGAGTGCCTTTTTTGCTGCATCCAGTTGAGCCACTTCAGACCTGTACTGTTAGCGGCTGTGTGTGATGTAGGCAGTTCTGTCTTTGCCACTCATCTGGGGAAAGTAGCGAGCACCAAAACAGGTACCTGTGCAGTCACTATGATGACTGCACAAACAAAGCGTTTCTCTCTGCATTCAAGTGCTTCTTTGCAGCTGTGCAACAGAGCGATCTGGCTGTGTTGTTGGGAGTATGGGATTGCTAAGGGAGAAAGTGTCGGCGTGCCCGTTCGTTCACTGAGGATATCACCGGTACAGCTCGGAGCACCTTCCCTAAGAGGAAAGGTTAAAGAGTCTGTAGAAAAGAGATGACTAAGGGGAGACATGAAAGAGGTTTATAAAATTATGCATGGGGTGGAGAGAGTTTTTTCTCCCTCTCCCCAAATACGAAAACTCAAAGGCATCCAATGAAACTGGTGGGCAGTAGGTTCAGGACAGACAAAAGGAAATACTTCTTTGCACAGAGAGTGATTTAAATGAGGAATTTGCTGCCAGAGGATGTAGCAAAGGGGATTTGATAGCTTCATGGAGGATAAATCATAGAGGATAAGTCTATCAATGGCTGCTAGCCATTGTGGTTGAGGGGAACCTCCACATTCAGAGGCAGTAATCCTCTGAATTCCAGTCCCAGGAGGCAACATCGGGAATACCTCATTGTCGCCGCCCTGTTGTTGGCCCTCCAAAGGAACTGGCTGGCCCCTGTGGGAGACGGGATGCTGGACTAGATGGTCCACTGGTCTGATCCAGCAGGGCTCTTCTTTTTTTTAATTCAATTTTTTAAAATTATTTTTTCATACAAAATAACAAGATATAACAACTCGTCTAATACCTAGACAGCAGGGCTCTTCTGATGTTCCTATCAGGGAAAGGCCTCAGCCTCTGTGCCCTGTTGCTGGCCCTCCAGAAGAACTGGCTGGCC